TACACTGGGTCATCAGGCATCAGGGTATCAGGCTGAACCATGGAAGGCGGGTTCACAGACGGCAGGCTCACCGGTTTGGATACTGGCAGGATGGTACAACTTGGAAAGAATTTTCGTTTTTTTCCTGGTTTTAGTTACTGGAGCACTGCAAGTAAACGCAGGTTTGCAACGAATGGAGCAGCTGAGGACAGAGAAGAGCTGGAAGATGGAACAGAGGAAGGAGCAGTTGCTACAGAGGACTTCTTTACAGGGTTAAAGAAAGGATAGGTGCAGCGAGTGGGAGCAGAGGACTGATATATGGTAGTTAGCAGAGTATACTGGGCTGTAACTGGGGGTGCTGTCGGGATGCAGGAAGAGTGCCTTGAGCAGAGGAATGATGTTGCAAGCTGACTGAGGCTGGGTGCAACAAATCTGTCCATGTCTGCAGTATGGGTTGAACAAAGCTCAGCTTACACAAAGCCTGTCTGACCAATGACTGCACTGCGTTTATACAATCCATAAGCACATGTGATGGACAAGCTGCATAATGCTCATGGAAACAATCTGGATCATCCTCCAACAACCATACCAATGATTCCACTTGATCCACACTAAATGGGGGAAAAAAGTCATCCCTGCTTTCAGGGGTACAGGACCGAGCCAACTCAGCACAAACCTGGATCAATGGCTGCACCTCAGAGAACTCTGTGCCCTGATCTACTAGGCAATGAGCGATCCGTATACATTCTAGCAATTCATCCCGGGGATACTCCTTCAGAGTCTGATAAGCATACTCCCTGTCATCAAACACTAGCAGATATAAATACACAACCTCATCCAGATCCATCCTTCCCAGCAACAAGCCAAGATGGCTTCCCTGTGCAGCCACTTCTGGTCAGGATGGGCCTTGGTGTAATGTCAGGGCTCCGGGTGTGACCAGAGGTGTGTGGACTGACACAGGGGACTAGCAGGCTTCTGGAACTCAGGCGTAGTCAGGGCTGGAGAGGTGGAATGGTCAGGCGGGCCGTAAGGTACTGTCAGGCACCGCCCGGCGGGATCTCTAGTACCCACAGAACCGGATTCCCCAGGGCACGGAGTCTAAGCCCCAGTCTGCCTTTTCACCAGAGCCCCTGATGGTGGGGATGGACTTGGCGCAGGACTGAGACCAGGTCGCGGCCCCTGAGTGCACCCAACTGTGGTAGAGGGGTCCACCGAGGGTATGTACCGGGGGGAAAGCCTGATGTGAAGGGGCTGGCAGGTTTGCACAGTAATGACTGGATCCGTGCGGGATGGATGGATCGTCTGGGTAGCGTCAGGCGTAGTCAGGCAGGCCAGGTCAGCAACGTGCGGGCAGTGAGGTACCGGAGGAGCAGGCAGAGAATAGTCAGGGTCACAAGCCGGGTTCAGTAACTCACGGGCAGCGTGGTACAGAGGATCAGGCAGAAGGATGGTCAGGCAAGCCAGGGGTTCAACAGGAGATGGTCAGCAGAGGTCAGGATCAAAGCAGGGTCAGCAACTAGGCAGATAGGCAGGAACACAGGATACCAGGTACAGGGGCTCATGGGAAACATACACCAAGGTACTGACTGCAGGTCTGGCCACTCCTTAAATACACCTCCTGCAATCATCCCCAGGTGTTGGCTGATTGCAGGAGTGAGCTTCTGGCTGCTGAGAGCACCCACTGGTCAGCCCTGGTACTGCAGCCCACACGGCAGGTGAGTCCCACCACCAGTGGTGAGTCCATTCCTGACACTCCCAGCAGCAGCTTGTGAATAAAGACCCTGAATTGATCCCTGTAACTGTGCAGTGCTCTGGAAATCACATTGGATACCAGTAGTTGTGCATAGGAGCAAGGTAACCAGATGCCAAAGAGGCTTGCCTCATGGTCCCTAGCTGTAAGGTCTTAGACTGCTCAGAATCTTGTTTCATGGTCCCCAGCTGTAAGGTCTTAGCCTATTCAGAAAGTTACCTCATGTTCTCCAGCTGTGAGGTCTTAGCCTGTTCAGAAAGTCACCTCATGGTCCCCAGCTGAGAGGTCTTAGCCTATTCAGAAATTCACCTCATGGTCCCCAGCTGTGAGGTCATAGCCTATTCAAAAAGTGACCTCATGGTCCCCAGCTGTGAGGTCTTAGCCTGTTCAGAAAGTCACCTCATGGTCCCCAGTTATGAGGTCTTAGCCTGTTCAGAAAGTCACCTAATGTTTTCCAGCTGTGAGGTCTTAGCCTGTTCATAAAGTCACCTCATGGTCCCCAGCTGTGAGGTCTTAGCCTGTTCATAAAGTCACCTCATGGTCCCCAGCTGTGAGGTCTTAGCCTGTTCATAAAGTCACCTCATGGTCCCCAGCTGTGAGGTCTTAGCATGTTCATAAAGTCACCTCATGGTCCCAGCTGTGAGGTCTTAGCATGTTCATAAAGTCACCTCATGGTCCCAGCTGTGAGGTCTTAGCATGTTCATAAAGTCACCTCATGGTCCCAGCTGTGAGGTCTTAGCCTTATCAGAAAGTCACCTCATGGTCCCCAGCTGTGAAGTCTTTGCCTGTTCAGAAAGTCACCTCATGGTCCCAGCTGTGAGGACATTGCTATGCCCTGACACCAGGCACTGCCTATTTATTTGGCGCTGTTTTCCATTGGGACTATGTTATGACTAAAGCCCACCAGGACTGACGTTACGTCAACGTTCTCTGTATTGCGATTCTTTTGTACTTCTAATGGACTTGCATTAACGTCATTTTAAGCCCTTTTTGCATTTGGAGGTCTAGTTGACAGTTTTCAGGGCTGTGGTTCTGGCACATGTGGAGCTCCTACACGGGGCGAGGTGACAGTTTTCAGGGCTGTGGTTCTGGCACATGTGGAGCTCCTACACGGGGCGAGGTGACAGTTTTCAGGGCTGTGGTTCTGGCACATGTGGAGCTCCTACACGGGGCGAGGTGACAGTTTTCAGGGCTGTGGTTCTGACACATGTGGAGCTCCTACATGGGGCGAGGTGACAGTTTTCAGGGCTGTGGTTCTGGCACATGTGGAGCTCCTACACGGGGCGAGGTGACAGTTTTCAGGGCTGTGGTTCTGGACACATGTGGAGCTCCTACACGGGGCGAGGTGACAGTTTTCAGGGCTGTGGTTCTGGCACATGTGGAGCTCCTACACGGGGCGAGGTGACAGTTTTCAGGGCTGTGGTTCTGGCACATGTGGAGCTCCTACACGGGGCGAGGTGACAGTTTTCAGGGCTGTGGTTCTGGCACATGTGGAGCTCCTCTTTCCTAGCAATATGTGATTGGTGGGTTGTAAGATCTCTTTTTGTAAATCTCTGTATGACTTGTATACCAAGGGTCAGAAATATTAGATTTTCAAGAAATAGGGAAACAGAGAAAACCTCCTAAAAGAACAATTGTTACACAAAACTAAATGAAAAGCAGCATGTGGATAAGTTGGCCGATCTGCATCATCGATTGGTGAGGTCCTGTGACCGAGCCGAGGATCTGGAGGTATGGAGTCCTTCTCAGCAAGGAGGACAGAATTCGCTGCAGGGATTCCCTTCCTGGGAAATGAATCAGTAATCAAAGTAATTGGGAGCAGAAGGACTACTGCACCCAGCATATAACATTGACCATACGTATATAGAGATGTACACCAGTATAGAAGCAATACAGTTTTATATACATCCAATGTACAATCAGGGATTATCAGCAAAGGGCCCGATGGGGGCCCTGGGGGAATGCACATGTATCTGTCTCTTTATGGCTATCCTCAATAGCCCTTCCTGATGTGGTAGCGCGAGGCAACAGGTCTCCCCAGCTTGGGTTCCAAGGCATGGCAACTCTCACTGTCAGGGATCGCGGCGTCCTGTCAGTCGGCGCATGCTCGCTGGCGACGGCTCACGCCGGGACACAGGCACCAGGTCCCGGCGAGCAGCGGATGACAGGATGCCGCGCATGCGCAGTGGAAGCCGCGGGCGCGCCTCGGGCGGCCAATGACAGCCCGGGGGCGCGTCCTGGGCGGCCAATGACAGTGCAGGGCGCACTATTTAAAGATGCCCTGCACTGTCAGTAATTGCCGCAAGGTCTGTGATTCCGAGTTCCTGCACCCGTCTAAGTAACCCTGATTGACCCTGACTACGCTGCCTGCCCCCTGTGATTGACCCGGATTGCCCTGACTACGCTGCCTGCCCCTGTGATGCCCCTGTGATTGACCCGGATTGCCCTGACTACGCTGCCTGCCCCTGTGATTGACCCGGATTGCCCTGACTACGCTGCTGCCTGCCCCTACGCTGCCTGCCCCTTGATTGACCCGGATTGCCCTGACTACGCGGATTGCCCTGACTACGCTGCCTGCCCCTGTGATTGACCGGATTGCCCTGACTACTGCCTGCCCCTGACCCGGATTGCCCCTACTCTGCCTGCCCCTGTGATTGACCCGGATTGCCCTGACTACGCTGCCTGCCCCTGTGTGATTGACCCGGATTGACCCCCTGACTACGCTGCCTGCTCCTGTGATTGACCCTGCCCTGACTTGCCTCCCTGGATTGACCCCCTGACTACGCTGCTGCCCCTGACCCTGCCCCTGTTATTGACCCGGATTGCCCTGACGCTGCCTGCCCCTGTGATTGACCCGGATTGCCCTGACTACGCTGCCTGCCCCTGTGATTGACCCGGATTGCCCTGACTACGCTGCCTGCCCCTGTGATTGACCCTGGATTGCCCTGCCCTGACTACGCTGCCTGCCCCTGTGATTGACCCGGATTGCCCTGACTACGCTTGCCCTGACTGCCCTGCTGCCTGCCCCTGTGATTGACCCGGATTGCCCTGACTACGATTGCCCCCGGATTGCCCTGACTACGCTGCCTGCCCCTGTGATTGATTGCCCTGACTACGCTGCCTGCCCCTGTGATTGACCCGGATTGCCCTGACTACGCTGCCTGCCCCTGTGATTGATTGCCCTGACTACGCTGCCTGCTGCCTGCCCCTGTGATTGACCCGGATTGCCCTGACCATTCTGTGATTACGGATTGGACTGACTTACCCTGCTGACCCTGCGTGTGACCCGGACCCGACTACTCTACGCTGCCTGCCCGTGCCCTGACCCGATTCTGTACCCCGCTTACCCTCACGGGACCACGGTCCGTTACTACCCTGCTGGGGCCGCCATCCGCTTCACATCTGGCTCTCCGGTACCTGCATACGTCCCCGGAGGTCTCCTCAGCCACTGGTGGGCCTGCTCACAGGTCGTGACCTGGCCCGGGACTGTTTCAAGTCCATCCCCACCATCAGGGGCCCTGGTGAAAGCACAGCCCGGGCTTAGACCCCACGCTCTGGATAGGTCTGTCAGTTGGCAGCCTGAGGCACCACCTGGCGGATGATAACTCTCACTATGGACCTCTCTCGGTCAGGTCCTCACGGCTTTGTCCTCAGTGTAGGTAAGCACAGATCTGCTCACATTGGTTCCCCGGCACGGTCTACCTGGTGTCCTGTGCAGACCCTGGTCATGGGTACACCTAGGGTGGCCACCTCATCCCTTTAAACCTGAAAACATATTAATTTCACGGGTTCTGGGGCTGATTTAATGCAGATAAGGCACTAGGTGAGCTTAATTACCACCCTGATCAGCCACAGAACCCGTGTGATTCATATGTGTTCAGTATTAAAGGGATGAGGTGGCCACCCTAGGTCCACATCATCAGGTTCCCCACGCTGGTCTCTCTGCACTCTGCTAATCTTGGCCTGGAAAACACTGTCCTCTCCTCCCCCAGACACAGGGAATCCTGGGAATTGTAGTTTGCCATTCCACAGCTTCCATTCACTAGTATTGAAGAGTTCCCCACTAAGAACTACTGTGCATTGTCCCTGATTGGAACAGAGGAGTCCTCGCAGAGTCCTGCTCCGATCACAGCGTAGCCAGGAGGAGTGAGAAGAGAGGCCATGTCGGGGATCGCCGCAGTGCTGGTATCGGCGCAGGCGCAGTGCACCGCCCTGTGCAGGGACGCGGGCACTGGGACCTGGCCGACGGCGGCAATCAAGTTCGCGCATGCGCGGTAGAGACCGCGGGGGCGCGCCTGGCACCAGTGACAGCGCAGGGCGGGATATTTAAATGGCCCTGAGCTGTCATTCAGTGCCTTCTGGTCTCCTTGTATCCTGTGAACCTGTGAATAAGTGAGTTTCTGACCCGGATTGTACCTGACCTGCTGTTTTCTCCTGTCCTGACCCTTGCTTGCCTGACCTCTCTCCTGGATGCCCCCTATTGGACCTGACCTGCTGTTGTTGACCTGGCGTGTGACCCGACTACTCTTTGCCCGCTGCTTTGTACCGCACCGTCCCCATAGTTACCGACCCGGCCTGCCTGACCTCGCACTCGCTCAGCCATCCATCCATCCATCCTGTCGGGATCTCCCAGTCTTCTCACATTAGGCTCTTCCTCTGCGGGAGCCCCTGGCGGATACCCCTACCAGTGGTGAGTGTGCCCAGTAACTGCGACCTGGTCTCAGAGCGCTACAAGTCCATCCCCACCATCAGGGGCCCTGGTGAACAAGTGCTGTGGGACTTAGATTCCGCGCTCTGGAAGCACCTCACCGGGGGGGTTGCTAGAGGTACCGCTGGGTGGTCCCTTACAGGCCAGCTGAAAAACACACAACCCGGCACTCCTCCAGCAGCAAGATGAGCAGGTGGAGGCCCCCGGCTACAATAGTATTGCAGGAACTCGGCTCCTGTATGGGGACATGTGGTACCAATTCCTCTCTTTCACCAATTTCCTCAACAACCCAAAGACAGGACGTGGCAAACACAATGAACTCCATTACTGAACAAAAAGTATTTACAAAATCAGACAGTATAAGAAGGCAGAATCATACATGTAGTAATGACATGAAGGAAAGTTCCTGACGCAACGTGTCCACAGATTGTTAGATGACCTTCAACCTTCCCCAGAGAGGTAGAGTGTTGTCAGGAATCCTCCCACGTATTGTATGCTTCCCTCTGTATAAGGATTCCTATGACTACGTGTCTCAGTCCCACCTCGCCCCGTGTAGGAGTGTACAGAACCGTCACCTCGCCCCGTGTAGGAGCGTACAGAACGGTCACCTCGCCCCATGTAGGAGTGTACAGAACGGTCATCCCTCACCTCGCCCCATGTAGGAGTGTACAGAACGGTCACCTCGCCCCATGTAGGAGTGTACAGAACGGTCACCTCGCCCCATGTAGGAGTGTACAGAAGGTCACCTCGTGTAGGAGTGTACAGAACGGTCACCTCGCCCATGTAGTGAGTGTACAGAACTGTCACCTCGCCCCATGTAGGAGTGTACAGAACGGTCACCTCGCCCCATGTAGGAGTGTACAGAACTGTCACCTCGCCCCATGTAGGAGTGTACAGAACTGTCACCTCGCTCCCCATGTAGGAGTGTACAGAACTGTCACCTCGCCCCGTGTAGGAGTGTACAGAACTGTCACCTCACCCCATGTAGGAGTGTACAGAACTGTCACCGCCCCGTGTAGGAGTGTACAGAACGTCACCTCGCCCCGTGTAGGAGCGTACAGAACGGTCACCTCGCCCCGTGTAGGAGCGTACAGAACCATCACCTCGCCCCGTGTAGGAGCGTACAGAACCGTCACCTCGCCCCGTGTAGGAGTGTACAGAACCGTCACCTCGCCCCGTGTAGGAGTGTACAGAACCGTCACCTCGCCCCGTGTAGGAGAGCGTACAGAACCGTCACCTCGCCCCATGTAGGAGCGTACAGAACCGTCACCTCGCCCCGTGTAGGAGTGTACAGAACGTCACCTCGCCCCGTGTAGGAGCGTGTACAGAACCGTCACCTCGCCCCGTGTAGGAGTGTACAGAACCGTCACCTCGCCCTGTGTAGGAGCGTACAGAACTGTCACCTCGCCCCGTGTAGGAGCGTACAGAACCGTCACCTCGCCCCGTGTAGGAGTGTACAGAACGTCACCTCGCCCCGTGTAGGAGCGTACAGAACCGTCACCTCGCCCCATGTAGGAGCGTACAGAACGTCACCTCGCCCCCCGTGTAGGAGTGTACAGAACGTGTGTCACCTCGCCCCGTGTAGGAGCGTACAGAACTGTCACCTCGCCCCGTGTAGGAGTGTACAGAACTGTCACCTCGCCCCGTGTAGGAGTGTACAGAACTGTCACCTCGCCCCATGTAGGAATGTACAGAACGGTCACCTCGCCCCGTGTAGGAGTGTACAGCCCCTGTAGTCACCTCGCCCCGTGTAGGAGCGTACAGAACTGTCACCTCGCCCCATGTAGGAAGTGTACAGAACGGGTCACCTCGCCCCATGTAGGAGTGTACAGAAGTGTCACCTCGCCCCGTGTAGGAGTGTACAGAACGGGTCACCTCGCCCCGTGTAGGAGTGTACAGAACTGTCACCTCGCCCCGTGTAGGAGTGTACAGAACTGTCACCTCGCCCCATGTAGGAGTGTACAGAACTGTCACCTCGCCCCGTGTAGGAGTGTACAGAATGGGTCACACTGGTTAGGAGTGTACAGAGTGTACAGTCAGAACAGACTTTACTCTCATTTCTCTCTTCTGCTCTCAGCGATGGCGTCTTCTGATCTGAGGAAGGAGCTGGAATGTTCCGTCTGTCTGGACTTTTATACAGATCCTGTAACCCTGAAATGTGGACACAACTTCTGCCGGGACTGTATTGGCCGTGTGTTGGATACACAGGAGGGGTCTAGAGTTATTCCTGTCCTGAATGTAACAAAGCTCCAAGAGACGTCCCGTCCTTCAGAGGAATCTGAAACTACGTAACATAGTGGAGAACTTCCAGTCTACCCATCCAGAGCAGGAGGACATCCGGGTCTTCTGTACTTACTGTATTCACACTCCTGTACCGGCTGTGAAATCCTGTCTGCTGTGTGAAGCTTCTCTGTGTGACAACCACCTGAGAGTCCACAGCAAGTCACCAGAACACGTCCTATGTGACCCCACCACTTCCCTGAAGGACAGGAAATGCTCCATCCATAAGAAGATCCTGGAGTATTACTGCACCGAGGACTCCACCTGTATCTGTGTGTCCTGCAGTTTGGCCGGAGAACATCGGGGACACCAGGTGGAGACTCTGGAGGAGGCCTCTGAGATGAAGAAGAAGAAACTGAGGAATGTTCTGCAGAAACTGATGACAGAGAGAGAGGAGACAGAGAAAAGAGTCCAGAGTCTGCAGGAACGCAGGAGGAAAGTACAAGGAAAAGCAGATGATGAAACCAAGAGAGTCACTGCCCTGTTCAGAGACCTCAGGAGACGTCTGGAAGACCTGGAGAAGAGAGTCCTGAGGGACATCTCCGGGTGGGCAGAGCGGGTCTCCCGTCCCATGTTGGATTATATTCGGGATCTGGAAATAAAGAAGGAGGAGCTGTCCAGGAAGATGAGGGACATTGAGGAGCTGTGTAACATGACGGATCCACTGACTGTCCTACAGGAATCAGACACAGGTGACTTGTGTGATACTGAGGATGGAGATGATGAGGACAGAGAGAGACATGAGAACCTCCTCCATGATGGAGGGGATGGGGATGTGGGGGGGATCTCACACACATTACACACGGGTCTATCTGATATCATGTCTGGGGTCAATGTACAGAAATGTACAGGCACACATGTCTCTCCATTTTCTGGTACAATGAGCAAAGTTCACATCAATGCTAGGCTGTACAGGCCATCACGCCATTTTCCCAGAAGGCAACACCCACCCGCCAGGCTGTAGGACCAAATATTGGGGCTGTACAGCAAACATGGGGGTGTTGGGGGTTACAGACATATTATTGGATGTGAGGACAGCTGGTGGTTTTCTACATATATCAGATGATGGGAAAACTGCCTCCTCATCATCAGGACATCAGGATCGCCCAATAACCCAGAGAGATTTGTGGATGATCAGGTGATGAGCAGTCAGAGCTTCTCCTCCAGGGAGACATTACTGGGAGTGGTTATCAGGGACTCAGGGTACTGGAGAGTCGGGATGTGTTACCCCAATATAGACAGGAGAGGAGGTCAGTCAATGATTGGAGATAATAAGAAGTCCTGGTGTTTGGGGAGGTGGGGGGATAATGACTACTCGGTGATGCATGACAGTCAGAAAGACCCCATTCCCCGGCGGTGTCTCCAGTACCAGAGTCAGGATAGATCTGGATTATGAGGCCGGGCGGATCTCCTTCTATGATCTGTGTGACCCGATCCGACACCTCCACACCTTCACCACCACCTTCACCGAGCCCCTCCATGCCATGTTATATGTATATGGAGGTCAGATAACAATATCTGGGGGCAAGCAGAAGTGAGAGATCCACCCAGAGACTGGGGGGAGACAGGGCGGAGAATCTGATTGGTGCAATACTCAACCAATAGGAGGAAGCAGA